CCCAAAAGTTGAAAAGTTGAGTTTACGGCCAATAAGCTAAACCCTAAACCCCTAAACCATAAACCCTTCAACCTCAAACCCCTAAACCGTCGCGGGAGTTTGAGGTCAACCCCCGGTCTCGACCAACCCCAAAGCCTAAAGTCTACAGCCACAGGCCCGCAACCCCCTTAATTGGGTTTTGGGTTTATAGGGTTTAGGGTTGAGGGTTGAGGATTGAGGGTTTAGGGGGTTTAGGGTTTAGAGTTTAGAGTTTAGGGTTGAGGGTTTTTGGTTTAGGGTGGACTATACCCGGCTAGGAACAGTTCGCTTGCACGGCTTGGAAAGGCTTCGTGGCTTAGCGGCTATGAAGCAAAGAACCCTAAGCCCTAAACCCCTAAACCCCTAAACCCCTAAACCCTAAACCCTAAACCCTAAACCCTAAACCCTAAACCCGAAGCCCTAAACCCTAAGCCCCTAAACCCTAAGCCCTGAGCCCTAAACGCTAAACCCTATTTTGCACGGCTTTGCAGGGACCTGCCCTCTCGAAATCCTAAGACGCTCTCTCCATCTTTCTGCAACGCCGACACCCATTTTAGGGGTTTAGGGGTTTAGGGGTTTAGGGGTTTAGGGGTTTAGGGGTTTAGGGTTTAGGGTTTAGGGTTTAGGGTTTAGGGTTTAGGGGTTTAGGGTTTAAGGAACTGACAAGCAGCAGCAAAAGCCTGAACCCGAACCTAAACTTAAACTAAAGCCTAAACCCTAAACCCTTAACCCTAAACCCTAAACCCTAACCCTAAATCCAAACTTCAAATAAAAACTTAAAGAAAGCCCTACACCCGAAACCCACACTTCAAGCCCTAGGCCCAAACCCTAAATCCAAACTTCAAACCATCCAAACTTACATTAAAGCCCAAAGCCCTGAGCCCCAAATCCGTTTAGGGTTCGGCGTTTAGGGTTATTTTAGGGCTTAGGGTCTAAATCCAGACTTAAAGCCCAAGCCGCTTACTAAGACTGACTGGTTCTGAGTAGGGAATGGGGGGAAGGGGGCATTGGGACTACTACCGGGGACCTTGAGGGACCATCATAGGGATCCATCCCCCCCAAACCCTGAAACCCTAAAGCCCAAAGCCCCTAACCCCAAAACCCTAAACCCTGAAGCCCTAAAGACCTAAAGCCCGAAACCCTGAAACCCTAAAGCCCAAGCCCTAAGACCCGAAAAACTAACATTCTAAAGCCCTAAAACCCGAAAACCCCCTAAAATTCGAAAGCCCTAAAACCCTAAACCCTGATCTTCTAAAGCCCTTAAACCCGAAACCCTAAAACTCTGAAGCCCTAAAAGCCTAAACCCTAACATTTTACAGCCCTAAGACCCAAAACCCTAAAATTCTAAAGCCCTAAAACCTGAAAACTCTAAACTTCGAAAGCCCTAAGGCCCGAAACCCTAAAATTCTACGGTTTAGGGTTTAGGGTTTAGGGTTTAGGGTTTAGGGTTTAGGGTTTAGGGTTTAGGGTTTAGGGTTTAGGGAGAAGAAGGCGAGTAGTCAAGCAGCTCTTGGTCCAGCTCCAAGACCTGATTTCAATGTGGGGGTTTCCGAAAATAGGGGACCCTAATATAGTACCCCAAATAGTAGGATCCTTAATATTAGGACCCCAAAATAAGGTACCCTTATTTTTCTGAATCTCCCATGTAGGAGGGGCCTTTAATGATTAGAAGAGGGTTTACGGTTTAGGGTTTAGGGTTTGGGGTTTCGGGTTTAGGGTTTAAGGTTGAGGGTTAAGTGAATAAGGTTTAGGGTTTAGGGCTCGGGGCCTTTAATGATTAGAAGAGGGTTTAGGGTTTAGGGTTTATGGTGTGGGGTTTAGGGTTCAGGGTTTAAGGCTAGGGGAATAGGGTTTAGGGTTAGGGAAATAAGGTTTAGGGTTTAGGGCTAGGGGCCTTAATAATTAGAATAGGGTTTAGACTTTTAGGGTTTAGGGTTAGGGGTTTAGGGTTTAGGGTTTAGGTTTCGGTGCTTTAATAATTAGAATAGGATTTAGGGATTAGGGTTTAGGGTTTCGGGTTAGGGGCCTTAATAATTAGAATAGGGTTTTGGGGGCCCAGTATGCTATAATCATAATAACGGGCCCTCCAAAATAGTATAGGTAACTATTTAGGCCCCTACATTAACTAGGAGTTTGGCCTTAGGGGTTTTAGGTTCTGTCGTCGTAGGGGGATTAGGGTTTAGGGGTCAGGGTTTAGGGTTTAGGAGTTTGGGCTTAGGGTTCGGGGTCTAGGGTAGTAAGTTTTCGGGTTCAGGGGTTAGGGTTTAGGGTCTGCGATAGGGTTTAGGGTTTAGGGGTTAGGGTTTAGGATTAAACGGCCGTTTTTGGTTTTTGTTGTCTAAGACTTAACTAACGCCCCGGGGACTCTAGGGTTCAGGGTTATCGAGGTCTCTTGTTGTTATGTTTAAAGTTTACTTGGGTTTTCAGGGTTTGGCGTTCAGGGTGTTCGGGTTCTTCGTTTGGGTCGTTGAGTTTGCTGGGTTGCGCATCGTTGCGTGCTTTTCAGAGGCCCTTTCTCGCTTTCGTGCCTTGGCTTCATTTCCAGGTTGTGCAGCACAGCTGTGCAGCAGCTTCATGGTAGGACACTAGCCCTAAACCCTAAACCCTAAACCCTAAACCCTAAACCCTAAGCTAGTTAAAAACTTGTACACTAGCCATAAGAACAGGGACTGTGCAAGAAGGTCATAGGTTGCGGCACCGGCTGTTACTTGTTTCTGCTACTACCACTATAAGAGGCACAGATCTAATCATGGCTCTCCAAGTCATCAAACAAACCCCAAAGCCCAAAGTAACAGTTATAAATCCTCCCAAACCCTATGCCCATATTCCGAAAACCCCAAATCCGGAAATCCTACACGTTTAAGGCAGCACTCTCCCAGTGCCGCTTCGGGCACTGCGTCGCAGGTCAGTCGAAGTAGTGAAGATGCCGCGGACAGCTGCCTTTGATAGCGATTGCTTGCGCTCTCCTAAACCCCTGAAACAATCTCTGAAACAGAGCACCTGAAGAGGATATCCCACAATCATACCTAAACCCTAAGCCCTATACCCTAAACCCTAAACCCCTAAACCCCTAAACCCCTAAACCCTAAACCCTCTAAACCATAAAGCCCAAACCCCTAAACCCTCTAAACCCTGAACCCGGACTTTGGACTTTAGACAAGTCCGACCTTTGAAGAGTTTAGGGCTTTTGAGGTTTAGGGTTTAGGGTTTAGGGGTTTAGGGTGCAGGGTTTAGGGTTTAGGGCTTCTGGGTTCAGTACCCAACTTTGATACAAGCAACCCTAAACCTGTAACTCCAAATCCCTAAACCCCTAAACCCTAAACAAGCTAAACCCTACAGCACACCCCAAAAAGTTGGAAACCGGATTAAGGACAATTAGTGCTGGGATTCTCTATACATTACTCTAAAGGACTGAGGCTAGTTTCCAACTTTCGGGCTTTCCTTTGCAAAGCCCTAAACCCCTAAACCAATCCAGAACCAACCCCCAGCGTCTCCCACTGCCGGCCAGGAGACGCCTCCATGTTCCCCCGGTCGAGACGCAGCTCAACCTGGTCTGCTTGGGCTTTAAAGCTTGAGAACTCCTAAGCCTTAACCAGGGCCCTGAAAGAACACCCGAAACGCTAAACATATAGGGGCCTTAATATTTGGAATGGAGTTTTGGGGATGTGTGTGGACATAAGTCTGGTGCGAATGAAGCTTGAGATGGCCTGTGCATCTGTTGAACTTTGAGCTGATTTTGAGCTGTTCCTCTAACTGGTTTTGGGGTATGCTATACTATACGATACTGTACTATACTATACTATACTATACTTTATACTTAGAACAAGGAGCCCCCAAAATTGTATAGGTAATTCAGGCCCCTGACTCGAATACTGCTGCCATTGTCCGCGCTTTTCGTTGGCTGGCCCCATGTGGTCCCACAAGGGCTTGCACTTGTCGGTGGGTCTTGAAGTGTTAGCCGATGCTCGCAGCTCCCGGGGCAACAGGGATCCTCTTTCTGGTGTCTTCGCTGAGCCACGCAAGTCCAGCTTTCACAGCATGGAAGATGCATGCTCAAGGTTGTTTGTGGAGCTTTGTTCCTGTAGTAACCTATCCTAAACCCTAAACCCTAAATCCTCACATGTCCTGTTTGATCTCTTACATCCTTGCAAGAGTGAGTGCTGGCTGCGTGTTTCCGTGCTGGCTGCCCCTATCAAATCATCCTATCGAGCCGATTTGAGCACCTACGGCCGCAACAAACAGATCTTCGCGCAAACCCTAAACCATAAGTTTAGGGGTTTAGGGGTTTAGAGGTTTAGGGTTTAGGGGTTTAGGGTTTAGGGTTTAGGGTAGCCCAACAAAAACTCTACTCCTAATTCCTGAAAGCCTCCCCTAAACCCTAAACCCTAAACCCTAAACCCTCCTCTTCGCGCCTTCAGCCAAATCATCTTCCGCAGGACCACAGCAAAGCCAAGGACGCCCACGCAGGAAAGCAGCCTCATCGTTCGCCATTTCTGGAAGATTTTTTGGGTTAGGATTTAGGGCTTTAGGGTTTAGGGTTTAGGGTTTAGGGACATGCTATGGAGGGTTAGCGCTGAGGGAGCCTGAGATCTTCGATGCATCTGGAGTTTTTAGCGTTTGCTTGAGGGCTTCGGGGCTTGGCAATCGTACTGATCCTCATCACCAACAAGGCTGTCGTCATCATAATCTTCTTCTTCTGCATCACCATGGTCATCATCAGCATCATCATAATCGTCATCGTCATCGTCATCATCCGTATGCTCATTCTGAGCAACAACGTCGTCAGCATCAACATAATCACCCCTGCTAGGCCTTAAGTTTCAAGCCACCGCCTCCACCGCCTCCACCACCGTCATCATCATCCCAGAGGTACGACAGCCTGACAATGATTATGCTGATGAGGGTGATGACAATCACAGTCCACGGTGATGCAAGTCTAGTGCTGGGATGAAGATGCCACGGAAAACATCCCTCTCGTGATGGTGGAGCTGAGTGGGTGCTCAGTGTGAGAACGGGCGAAGTTTTTTCGTTGTTGGTGATGTTGATTCTGTTGCTGACAAGGAGACAGTGATGCTCATGATGAAGACGACGATTTTAGATGAAGATGGCAGCTGGATCGTGCTTTTGCGTGGCAGTCGCACCATCACACCTCAACAAAAATCATGCACGAAAGAATCACCCTAAACCCTAAACCCCAATGCCCTTCCGTTCCAGCGCAGGCTTCCCTTGACGACGAAGTCTGTCAAAAACGAGCTGTCCGGGCCTTTGGCCTTGGTGCCTTCTGGGGGCCGTAGAACCAGACCTAGAAAGGCTTAGGATTTGAGGTTTGGGGGTTTAGGGGTTAAGGGGTTTTGCGGTTGAGGGCTTTGGGTTTAGTTAGGGTTTAGGGTTTAGGGTTTAGGGTTTAGGGCCGTAAACCCCAAACATCCTCAAAGCAGCTCGTTTCGAGCCACATTCGCAGCCATGGGCACAAGACCCTCGCCCCAGCCATCCTCTTGATTCGTTTGGGTTTAGGGTTTAGGGTTTAGGGTTTAGGGTTTAGGGTTTAGGGTTTAGGGTTTAGGGTTTAGGGTTTAGGGTTTAGGGCTTGGGGGTTTGATGCTTCCGCTTCGGTTCTAGGGCGCAAGCTTTTGGGCTCGGGGTGTCTTCATTGAAAATCATAGAAGGGGTATTCTACGTGGGCTTTCGAGGCTCTTATGGCTTAAACCGGTTTAGGGTTTAGGGTTTAGGGTTTAGGCATGACTTGTAGCTGCGTTCTGTGGTTTTTGAAGGCTTCTTAGAAAGACTGTCGCCACCGAAGATCCCACTAGTAGGGTCTCCAATACTGCCCTCCTTCGGAGTTTGGGTTTAGGGTTTAGGGTTTAGGGTTTGGGGTTTAGGGTTTAGGTTTTAGGGTTTAGGGTTGGGGGTTTAGGGTTTAGGGTCTATAATACTGCCCTCATTTTCATACTCCCAAATAACCCTAGACCCTAAAATCTATAGAGCCTGATTTCCGGCTTCGAGTTTTGCGGTTTCTGAGGCCTTGGGAGAGACAGTACAGGACTGTTACAAAACCATCAGAAAGCCTTTTAGGGTTTAGGGTTTAAGGTTTAGGAATTAGAAGTTTCTAGAACCTCAACCCTAAGCCCTGATCCCGTCCTCTAGTCCCCAAGCTCCTCTAAACCCTACACCTCAATACCCAAGACCCAAAATGGCCTTTCAAAACACTACTTCGGCACCCTGACGCCCGAAAGCCAGCACAAGCTGGGTGTAGGGTTTTGGGGTTTCGGGTTTTTTTTTTTTAAAGTGTAGTAGCCCTTTTGGGGTTTAGGCTCTAGGGTTTAGGGTTTGGCGGCCAAGATCGGGGGTCGGAACAACTACGTAATCACAATATCCTCCTTACAGTCCTTGCAGCTATACTAGGTACCCGATTCTGATTATTCAGGCCCCTAAACCCTAAACCCTGAACTAAACCCTAAACCCTAAACCCTGAACTAAACCCTAAACTCTAAACCCTAAACCCTGAGCTAGGTTTGAATTTGGGCTGGTGATTCAGGGTTTAGGCCGCTTGGGCCTCTTTCCGGGGATCGTTGGGTCAGTCGCTCTTTTGCGATCTCTTTTAGGGTTGCTCTTATCGCCGTAGATATAGAGGCCTACATAATGAGAATAGGGCCTTGCGGGTCGATCACCGTATAATCATATCGGGAGGGTTTAGGGTTTAGGGTTTAGGGTTTAGGGGATACCGGCTTATTCTTGTCATTGTTATTGGTATTTTGATTCTAGTTCTTATTGGGATTCCGATGAAGTATGCGGGTCGGATACTAAACCCTAAACCCTAAACCCTAAACCCTAAACCCTAAACCCTAAACCCTAAACCCTAAAGAACTCCAAGTTATGTTGGGGCCAAGTCCTCGAAGCGGGTGCGCAGTAAGGTGAGCAGCATGTAGAGACCATTGACCATCACCACCATGCCGATGTTCCTTGGAGTTTAGGGGTTAGGGTTTAGGGTTTAGGGTTTAGGGTTTAGGGTTTAGGGTTTCCTTGGAGTTTGGGGGGTTGCGTTTAGGGTTCTCCAGGAAATTGGTGTTCCATGAACGACCCCTTCTGTTCATCTATCTCTCCCCTGAACCCTGAACCCACCCTCCAGTCGTGCACTCCATGCCGTACTGAAGCTAGTAACTCATCCTTGGGGGCCTTCTGGGGAAGCTGACCCACAGGCTCGAGGTACGCCTCAAACAGGGGCTTAGGGTTTAGGGTTTAGGGTTTAGGGTTTAGGGTTTAGGGTTTAGACCCACATGTCCTCCTGCAACTGGGAAACCTCCACCTCCCCCTCCACCGCGACTGACGCCCCAAAAGGGACGTGCACCGCAACTAGCCCATGCTCCTGTTCAAACCCTGAGGGTCCGTATATACCACTAACTACTGTTATGGAATTAGGTCCCGAAAGACCCTCCTGATAATGGTTTTGGGGGGACTTGATTCCATAATAGTGGTATATGTGGACCCTCCCTAAACCCTAAACCCTAAACCCTAAACCCATGGCTACCACACACGTCGAGAGTTGGTGCCACACACGTCTAGAGTCGGTGAAGGAAGGCTCATGGTCTTAACCTACTATTTCCACAGGATTTCGGTTTAGGGTTTAGGGTTTAGGGTTTAGGGTTTAGGGTTTAGGGTTTAGGGTTTAGGGTTTAGGGTTTAGGGTTTAGGGTTTAGGGTTTAGGGTTAGGATTTCGGGCTACAAGTTTGGCGTAACACACTATAGTTCATGATTGTAGCAGCATGTCAACTATCTTAAGTATTACGACCCCTATATTACACCTCAGAGGTTTGTTTGCTCCATAGGATCTTTAGGTCTACTTGGACCCGGACAGATGAGTAGCAAAAACATGCCCCACAGATATTCTCTGTAGTGAGGCCTGGTCTCAAAGCCCAACTTCTGCCGATTTGGGGTCGGAAACACCAAACAAGATCACTCCCTTAGGTTCCCTAAACCCTAAGCCCTGCTGGTGGCAAAACCAACCCGGAATCTGCACGATTAAGGCCCCTGTCTTAAGTACTCAGCCCGAAAAAAAAAACAACAAACCCTAAACCCTAAACCCTACTAAAGAAGCCTCAATAATCACCAATACTATTTTTTTTTGGGGGGGGGTCCATATTATGATTAAAGCATATAAAAAACCCAAAACCCTATTCTAATGATTAAGGCGTCTACATTGAACCCTAAGCCCTAAACCCTACAGAACC